ATCAGAGCTGCTGCTGCTTGAGCAGAGGAGAGAAAGCGACCTGCAGGAACACTAGAGGAGAGATCTTTCCTGCCATTAGTGGATGGTTCCCAGTGCCCAGAAGAGTACCTTGCACACAGTAGGTGTTCAGTAAATGCTAGTTGATTGATCAACTGATCTCAGAGGTTTTGCGGACTCCTGCACCTGCCTCCTGGGCTACGGGCAGAAAACTCTCAATCACACAGGGCTATTGACCAAGGCCACAGTGGGATGGCAGCCGGGTCCCATCTGTACCAGGCTCTGACCAAATGCCCTGTAATCTTGGTCCATAGGATGGGCTCTGTGTATGTCACCTGCAACTGCAGCTTCTCCTCCAACCTGGATCCTGACACCATTGGAAAGTGTTTCTGGACAGGACCCAGGATGCCACAGCCACTGGCTAGGGACTCCTATAAGCTGGATAACCTCCAAGTGACAAGTATGGGGCCTGAATGGCTGGGGGTAGGGGAGAGGAAGCTGCAGTGGGATGGGCGATGGGAAGGGGCTCATGGCAAACAGAAGCTGAAGAAAGCACTTGGAAGCTTGTACCCAGGAAATGGGGGTGAAGTGAACCTTATGGGATTGAAACAGTGTTGAGCTAGGAGTTCTTAGAATATAAGGCATAACATGAGTGAAATAGGAACGTTCTTAGAAACCTAAAAAGTCAAAGCTGGGAGAGCTTTAGAACAGAAAACAGAGGCTGGAGGGCCCTTAGAACCCAGGATGTCAGAGCTGGGAGGGCCCTTAGAACCCAGGATCAGAGCTGGGAGGGCCCTTAGAACCCAGGATGTAGAGCTGGGAGGCCCTTAGAACCAGGATGTCAGAGCTGGGAGGGCCCTTAGAACCAGGATGTCAGTTTGGAGGAGCCCTAGCATACAGAATGTAGAAGGTTCGATTTGGGAAGGGCCTCAGATACTCCAACACTGTCATTTTGTGATTGAGCAAACTGAGATCCAGTGAGCAGATGTGACTCTGTCCAAAGTCATCGAGAGTTTGTGTCAGATCTGGGAAAAAACAATTAGACTTCCAGACACCCCTACACTCCCCAGCCCAGATGAGAAGCTGGCCGTGGAGCCTGTTCAGGACAGAACCTTCTCTTTCCACATGCCTTCTGAGAGTCCCAGCAACGAAGTCATCCCTGAAGCCAAAGTGGAGGCCCAAAGGGCTAGAGAACACACATACCTGTCCCCATCTGCCCCTTTAGGCTCCCTTTCTCTCTGTTCCTCTGTGGATGTTCAAACTTCTTTCATTTACAAAAACATTGATTTAGCATCTCAAATGAGGTAGTATTTTGAAAGCGTTTAGCACATAACAGGTGCTTAATAATGCTTGTTCCTTTCCTTTCTTTCTTTTTTAAAATTTATTTTTTTCTACATTTTAAGTTTGTAACTAACTGTCTCTTCCTTCCACCACCACTAGAGAAAGACATAGATGTAGGTATAAATTGCAAAATCATACTATGCATTCTCTTCTCTCCTCTCTCCTCTCCCTTCTCTTCCTCCTCCTTCTCCCTTCTCCTCCCTCCCTCCTCTCTCCTCCTCTCCTCTCTCCTCTCTCTCTCCTCTCCTCCTCTCCTCTCTCCTCTCCTCTCCTCTCCTCTCCTCTCCTCTCCTCTCCTCTCTCCTCTCTCTCCTCTCTCTTCTCCTCTCCTCTCTCTCCTCTCTCTCCTCTCTCTCCTCTCCTCTCCTCTCCTCTCCTCTCCTCTCCTTCCTCTCTCCTCCCTCTCCTCTCCTCTCCTCTCCTCTCTCTCTCTCCTCTCCTCTCTCTCTCTCTCTCCTTTCCTTTCCTCTCTCTCTTCACCTGGGATTTCATAGGCACAGAGAACTCCATGAGGGAACTCCCGTTACCAGTGCATATTAATATATGCTTTAGACTCTAGAGAGTGACATTGAGAGGGAAAGGGACTTGCCCGGGTCAACCAGAACCAGCTGGATTGGAACCCAGGTCTTCCTGGCTCTGAAGCCAGCTTCAGAGTCTTCTTCACCCACATGGCCTCCCAAGGGGATAACAGAAGGCAGTGGTAAGAGGTGAGGCAAGGTTTGGGATTTCATGCATGAACAGAACACTTGGCAGAAAAGCTTCCTCTGCCAATGCAGATTTTTCACCCTCTTGAGACTTATGTGATTTGGAGAGTTGCCTGGGGATAATACAGACTACTTACTGCATTATAAATGCATTAGATACAGGCATAACAGAGAGCCCTGTGAGGTCCTAGGGGACTGTCTATTCCTGGCATGAGGAATTCAGGGAGCCTTCCCAGAGGAGGCAACATTGGAGCTGGGCTTCCCAATGGTGCAGTAAAACCTGGGAGCTAATCCTGTTGGGAATGTTTGGAGTTCACACAAGTGCAGAAGGCATCCTGGGAAAGGTCATCATAAGGCTTACAAGGAGGTCTCCAGATCTGACGAACAAACCTCACCGCACCTCATCGTTTCCACGTGTAAAATGCGGGGACCCAACTCTTAAGTGACCCTCTGTCTGTGGTTCTAACTCACCAGACTTTCCTGGGAGCAGTCAGCTGCTACCTGGCCTCCTGAAATGGATGCTGGTACCATCTATCTTAGAAGGTCAGGGTTTGAGCCAGAGAAAAGGGCCAGCCACCTTTCTATCCCTGGAGGAAGGAAGGGGACTCTGGCCTGTATGACCTCTCTGTAGCCTCTCCCAGCTTGGGCCCCATCATCATCATCATCATCATCATCAATCATCTTTTTCTTTGTTCTTTCCCCAGAACTGGAAGCAGCCCCCACTGTCTACAGCTAAGCCACTGATTGACCCCAGGCCCCGACACTTCCAATTGAACTTCACTGTCACCAGCGTGCTCTATTCCCTGGACTTGTCACACCCTGACTCAGCCAAGTATCAAGAGAACAAAAATGGCATTGAAGATGCGGTAAGGTCTAGTCCCAAGAGCTGTAGGAAGGACCCAAGCAGGGATCTCCAAGCGTGCTCTTTCCTGACTGTCCCCCAAGAGCGTGGGGCTTTCACATCAGGCTTTCAGCAGAATCCTGGACAACTTCCATCCACTCTGTTCCCTGGAGACTAAGTGGGAAGAAATTTCAGTTTAAAGACTCTCTTAAGAGGGTGGGGTCAGGAGAGCAACACACAGAGCCTGTGGGGATGGTGAGGTATGATGGGGGGGGTTGTTTTGTTTGTTTTTCAAAACTAGGATTATTTATTTATTTTTACTGACCTATGATTTCATTGATAAAGAAATGTCCCAGTGAAGTGATTCCCTCTACCAAAGCAGACCAGTATGTAATCAAACTTATAGGGGGTTGCCTGTTACGTGAAACAGCTAGGCCAGGGTAGTGTGCTGAATTTGGAATCAGGAACCTGGAGTTCAAATCCTGTCTAAGACATTGCTTGTGACCCCCAGCAAGCCACTTAACCTCCTAGCCTCAGTTTCCTCATCTGTAAAATACGGGAGTTGGACTTCATATCCTTGAAGTCCCTTCCACCTCTATATTTAGGATACTATGATATGCCTAGCATCACATAACCAGTATGTCATAGAAGGAACTCAAACCCAGGTCTTCCTTGAACCTAGGTATGCCACACTACCTCTAAGGGGGCAGGAGAAAAGACAGCAGAGAGGAGAGGAAAGGAAAGGAATAGATACAAAGGACAGGATAAAGAGAGTGAAGTGACTGGGGACACCATTAAGCCAGCCCCTTCAGATTACATGATATATAATTACAGATTACAGATGCTGCTGAAAGGGGTTCAGATTTACTCTAGATCACCTGTTAATTTCTCAAATGCGTGATTTGAACCTGAAACAGGAAAGGAAGGCCCTTTCTAGAAAATTTTAGACACTGGGAAGGGGGAGGGAGGGGGCTCTGCTGTACCTAGGATGGTCCCTGGTACCCAGAAAGGTGAGCTCAGTCCATCTCTTGCATTCATCTAGGTCCACCTGGCAGGTATCTACCAGATGGAGATGCTAGCCCTGTAGCGTGACTTTTTTTTTTCAAGAAAAGTTTTTAAGTATTTTTTTTTTCTGGGCACATGTGCCCTAGGATCACATTCCAGGAAATGTTCCTTTTTTTGCAGCTGACCCAGCTCTTCAGAAACAGCAGTATCAAGAGCTATTTCTCTGACTGTCACGTGCAGACCTTTAGGTGAGGTTTTTCCCCAGGGACAACTCTGTCTAGGACTCCACTTCTCTGTCTAGCTTCTCACCCCCACAATTACAGGAAGCATCTCTTGGTGGAGACCAGTTCCAGAACAGACCATGTTCAGGACACAATATCCCTTCTCTAAGCCTTTCTCTGGTGTGCTCAGGAAGCTGTGTTTCCTTCTTCTCTTTCCTTCCCTCCAAACTCCCTTCTTCCTCTAAAAGCTGCCTCAACCCAGCACCCGAGAAGGGTCCAGAGATACAGAAAGCAGCATGTTACCAAACTGCCTGGGAGACCAAGCCGTCCTTTAATCAACCAATCAACAAGCATTTATAAATCTCCTACGATGTCCCAAGCGCATGCGTTGTACAGAAATGTACAAATGAAGCCAGCTCTGCCCTCAAAGAGGTTACAGTCTAGGGAGACAACATGTACATCTACATACATACACGAGCAATCAGCCGCTCAGTAAGGTTTAAGTAGCATACTCCAAGTGTCAGGTATGGCAAAAGATAGAAAAAATAAAGCCATCGTGTCCTCAAGGAGCTTACCATCCAGATCCATGTATTCACAAAACACTTAGAAGTAAGTCTAGTTTTGGTGGGGAGGTGCAGTGAGAGGAGGCCCCCCATCCAGGTTTTCCTGCCAGGGCCAGAAGCCTGCTCAGCCTGGCCCAGCTCAGCTCCCCTGAGGCCATCGCTGCTCCAGTCCTCTCCTCCCCACCTGCCTTCTTCTCTCTCATTCACGACACCCTCCCTCTTCTTTAGGCTTGTCTCTCCCTTCTTTAGGCTTGCCTCTCCCAGACGCCTCACAGGAGTGGACTGTTTATGTGACTTCACATCAGCCGCTCAGGCCCGGAACTTTGACAGGGCCGCTATGTACGAAGAGTTCCTCAGACTGACCCACAATGGCACTCGGCTACAGAACTTCACCCTGGATCAGAACATATCCTGGTGGATGGTGAGGGACTCTCCAGTCTGGTCTCTCTGTCAGAACACTGACAGGCTGTGAGGAAGGATGAGGAATTCCTGGGATGCTTGACTCCTGACATCTTAAGCCCAAAAGACCCTCCCTCCACATTCCCTGATGCCTGTACTCCCTCCTCCCCCCCGACTGTTTCCCCCAATGGCCATCCCTGTCCCTTATAGTCGTCTGTCTCTATGATCCCCATATCCTTTCCTCCCTCCCTGACCCTTGGAGTCTCTTTGTCCCCCATGGCCTCTCCATCTCTTGTCCTTTCATCCTCTTCTTCCTCACCCAGTCTAGCTCCCCAGATCAAGACCCATAGGTTTCTTCCCCTTATTCCATATTTCTCTGTCCTCAGGCTATTCTATCAAGAAAATAGATGGAAAAACTAAGAAAACTGGTGAGTATGACAACAGCCTTGCCCCTTGACCGTTCCTATGTGTCTGTGTTGGGGGTGGGGAGCTGAGGCTGATCCTTGAAGAGTAGGAGAGTGGGGGCAGGGCAGGAACTGAGTGCCAGGATGACTTTCCTCTCACCCTAGCCAGCACTCGATGCTGAGTGTCCACAGAGCACTGTCTTGGACTGTGTTCATGAGACAAATGAACAGCGGTCATCCCTGCCAATTGTCAGATCCCTGAGTGTATCTCCCTTCCTGAGTCCCCTGGGGGATGGACATGGGAAGGTTCTGTGCCTGAGCTTAAGCCATTCTCTGTCATTGGGTAGGACTCAGTATCACTGTCACTTTCTCTCAGTTCTGACATTGGGTCTCTGCACTATCACCCTCCCTTGTCCCAGGTTGACAATGGGGTCCCTGAACCATCTTTTCTGCCTTAAGTGGCCTTCCCTCAGTTTGCCCAACTCCTTTTCTCTTATGTCCAGATCCCGAGCTCCTTTCTCCAAATTCACTCCCATAGTCTGCCCGCCCCCTTTCTCCTAGGTCAGCTTCTTCTGAAGAGCAAATGTCTGGTGGCATGGGAGGTGGGAGGATGCTCTGGGTTGGGTCCTTCAGCCTCCATCCTCCATCTTCCCTGCGTATTGCTCTTTGTCCCCTCCCTTCCCACAGGGGTGGGAATGCCAAAGGACATTCACTCCCCCCCTGTGCTGTCCCCTTATCCCATGAAGCTCCTCAGCATCACCTCTTCTTCCCCCCAGACCTGCCCTACTGGGCCATCATTCTTATCTGCCTGGCTATGCTCCTGGGGCTCATCCTTAGTATTATGTGCTGCTTCATGGTAAGAGAACTTGGGGAGCCCCTAAGGGTCACTAAGGGCTCTCTGTGTGCATGTATATGTGTGTGTGTGTGTGTGTGTGTGTGTGTGTGTGTGTGTGTGTGAGAGAGAGAGAGAGAGAGAGAGAGAGAGAGAGAGAGAGAGAGAGAGAGAGAGAGAGAGAGAGGGCAGGGGTAGAGGAGGGAAGGAGAGAGAGACAGAGACAGAGAGAATGAGTATCCCTATGAGGGGAAGTCTTGATGGTGGCACAGTAGGAAGATCACCATAATCACTATATTGGGAGCCAGAGGACCGGGGTTCAAATCGTATCATATATGAGACTGTCATCAAGCCACCTCTATGGGCTTCAGTTTCCTCATCTATAAAATGAGGGTATTGGATTAGATGGCCTCCAATATCCCTCCCAGCTCTAACTTTGTGATCTCATGATCCAGTATGCTTCTCCTAGAGTGAGCAAGTGTGTACATGTGAGAATGTAGGTGTGGTTATGGCTGCATATACGCATCTAGGAGAGGATGCATATCAATGAGTCAATGGGAATGAGTGTGAATTTAGGAAGTACAAGACACTAGTGTGTGCGTCCATCCATATGTAAAGGAGGGTGTGTGTGTCTGAGTAAGAATTTGAGAGAGAAGAGATTTCTGTTTATCAGAGAGACAGAAAGAGAGTGAGAAAATGCACAGTGCTTGGCACATGCTTATTGAATAGAAGTGAAAAATGGAGGGACAGAGTTGGAGAGATAATCTGAGACAAACATAGACTGAAAGAGGGAGACCAAGATAGTCAGAAAGAGACTTGAAACAAGAGACAGAGATGAAGAAAGGATTGAAGATGAAGAGACAGACAGAAACTGAGGCAGAAAAGGGGAGAGACACAGACAGACAGACAGAATAAATTTACTTAGGAGAAAGTTCCAGGTAGCCTTCCTTCACACTCTCGCCATTACTTTCTCAATCAGTGGAGAGTTCTCTCAATGCGGCTCATGAATACTCTACCTGGGTGCCTTCTCCCTAAGCCTGGCCTTAGGTTTTGGGGTAGGGGCTGGGAAGAAATGTACAAAGCCAGCCAGGAAGACCAGTTCTAATAGCCTTGGTTCCTGGCTGTGCTCCTGGGATTCACCAGAGCTGCCTTCATGCCCTCTCTGGGGAGCAAAGCTGGGTCCATAGCTATACACAAGAGGCTCTCAGCAAGGCTCATGCCCCCATAACTCCTGACTGTCCTCCATCCCTCAACCCTGTACAGGTTATCATGGGCCTGAGGAAAAACAAAGGAGATTATGAAGTCCAAAGGCGAACAACCATCATCTCTTACCTCTCCCATCTAGACCTGAAGAAAATTAATAATGGACTGTGATAAAAATGCAGCAGAGTGAACCCAAACACCTTGGCCCCTGGCCCTGGCCACAATCCTGGTGTGGGCTGGGCTTGGGCTGGAATAAACACTGGGCCTTGCTCATTGTGGATTGGCCAGAATACCGACTCTGCCTGTTTCTTACCATTTGCCCTGGTGTGGGTGACTCCTCAAGTGAGTCTACAGGAACTGAGGAGAGAGAAGACCCTCCCCTAGGGCCTAGGGTCCATTGCACCTCCTCAGGGGTCATCACTCCTCTCTGGCAGTCTTCAAGGCTCTCATCTGCCCCATCCCTAAAGGTGAGGAAGCGAGCTTGGAGGATGGATGAAGGAAAAGCCCAGCATCCACACTGGTCCTGAACACAATGGGTAGGGCTAATTGACCAGATAGCACTATTTTCTCACCCCTAAAAGACAAATTGGCTAACAATTATGCACCACTGGAGTAACCTGAGTTTAGGAAACCAGAGGACATTGGATACATTGGTGCCAAGACCCTTCCAATCTGTGATTCCCCCAACCCTTGGCTTCATATCAACCCTCAACAACCCTGATCTCCCTTTCCCACTGTGACCTGCCTCTGGGACATGAGCATCCACCTATCCCTGTCTTCTAAGGGCTCTGCCTTGCCCACCAGCTTCACATCACCCTTGCTCAAACACATCCCTATTCCTTGGCAGCCTCCCATCTGGCCCCTTCTATTCATCTTCCATTAAGATTCCCCAGCTGCTTTCTGTCTACTGTGGCCACCTCCTCAGGCTCCCACTGGGACCTCCAAAACAACTTCCCACCACCCTCTTGTTGTGACCTGTCCACCAGGCCTTCATGGCTTTAACTGCCTATGACCTTTCCCTTCCATGACTGGCCCCTTCCTCTGACCTTCCCCCAATCCTCACATTACCCTTCACCTGGCGCTGTCTCACACCCTGATCTCCCAACTTCAACAAGGCTACCCTTTCCACTAGTTCTAGCTTTCTCCCTTACAAGCCTGTGTTACCTTGGACAAGCTGCTTTCCTTCTCTGGGCCAGTAAAATGCGACTTGGGCTATACAGCCCAAGGAAGGAAGATTCCCCCAGCCCTGACGCTGAGCCTGTGGGGAGATTCCTCCTTACCACCTCCCTTCCTTGAATTCTCTTCCACATCTGAGTTACCCGCCACCTCAGGGCAGCATCATGGGCTCCCCAAGACCTCAGCTCTGAGCAGGAGTAGGTAGGGTCAATGTCAAGTCAGATGGAGAGCTGCAACATGCTATCTCAGTCTGGGACTGACATGGAGGCAATTGGTCCCCTTAGATTCCCTAGTTTCACAGGTTGAGAGCTGGCTCCAGACCAGGCACAGCTGCACCAGAGCCTTCCAGTGCCCAGCATCCTCTGACTCCTATCTCCACTGACCTATCACCATCCTACCCACACAGCCAGGAGACAGGCCACCTTCCAGTAGCAAAGTTGGGGCTAACCCATCAAGATTCTCACATCTCCAGGGAGTGCATTTAGTTCCTTTGTTAAAAAAAACAAACAACCTTTTCTTTAACAAGCATTTGACTTTCTCTCCTTCCCACTAATGCCCCCATCCACCACTGAAAATCAAAACCAAAAAAACCCTTGTAACAAACATGCAGAATCAAGCAAAACAAATCTCCACACTGACCAAATGTCTCAATGTGCACCTTGAGCCTGTCACCTCTCTTAGGAGATGGATAGTACTCTTCATCCCTGGTACTCTGGGTGGTGACTGCCCTGATCAGAGTTCTTAATGTCTTTCTAAGCTCTTAATCTTTACAGTGTTGTATAAAATATAAATACTTGTGGTTCTGTTCACTTCATCTTGGATCTGTTCATATAAATCTTCCCAGGTTTCTCTGACCCATTCGTCATTTCTTTCAGGGCAATCATAGTCCATGACATTTATTGGGCTAGAATTTGTTTGGACATTACTTCCACTCAGCCAGAAGGGCAATTGTGCCACCCCCGATAACCCAGGGTACACCTGGCATGCCAGCAAGTTGCCTGGCTGCTATCCTTCTGTGGATAGGGGGTGCCTCAGGACAAGGTTTGCTATTCTCCAACCACACAGTCCTCCAGTGAATTTAGGTACCAGAATTCCTGGTTTTAGGGGCTTTCAATAAAAGAAAAACAGCTCAGTGGTCAAGTTGAAAGAGGTAAAATCAGCTAGCAATTAGCATTGAAATAAAAATGACATGGTGCGTGGATTGACATTTTGGTGGAAATCTCAGCACAGATTTCATGTCTATCCTGTGTATTCCAGATTTGCAAACTCCAATTTGACTTCATAGGAATCCCTTCCGGGCCATAATTTCCTACAGATTTTGTCCTACATATCAGAATTCCTGCTTACGACTCTGCTCATGTACATAAATACACACACACACACACACACACACACACACACACACACAGGGAGACACCATTAAGAAAACCACAGGTTCTCCAACACATATGGTTAATACACTTCCAGGGATGTGAGGATAGGCACCTCTAGAGTCTTAGCATTTGGTGCCTTTATAGCAATTTCTTTTTTAAAAATAATATTTTATTTTTTCCTAATTACATGTAAAGACAATTTTAACATTCTTTTTTTAAACAAAAATTTGAGTTCCAAATTTTCTTCCTCCCTTCTCCCAGAGACAGTATGCAATTTTATATAGGTGATACACGTGCAATCATGCAAAATATATTTCCGTATTAGTCATGTTGTGAAAGAAGACAGATGCCAAAAAAAACAAAACCCACAAAAAAATGAAGTGAAAATTGTATGCTTTGATCTGCATTCAGGCTCCATCAGTTCTTTCTCTGGATGTGGATAGCATTCTTCATCATGCATTGCTTTATAAAAATTTCTGGGACCACTCAGTGCCTATGAGATTTTATAGTTTATAACAATAATGATAATAATAGCAATAACAATATTTACATAGTGCTTTGAGGTTTACAAAACTACTTATTTAATTCTCATAACAACTCCATAAATGTGGGTGCCATTAAAGACATTTTACAGATGAGGAAACTGAGGCCTCAGAAAGAAGTTAGGTAACTAACCAGCAAGTGAAGTATGTGAGGCAGGATTTGAATTCAGGTCTCTCTGATTTCAAGCCCAGCATGCTTATCCACTGTAGCACCCAGGGGCCATGGGTCTACAGATAGGAATCCTTGACATGGTTCTCTTCTCTGGAAAATCCTGACTGAGTGGGAGCATAGAATACTAGGAATTGGAAGGGACCTTAGTAAGGGACTATTAACCCCCTCAGAGGAAGAAATTGAGGCCCTAAGACAGGAAGGGAGCTGCTCTCAAGATCACAGGGCTAGTTAAGTATCAGAAATAGAATATGAAGCCAAGTCCTCTGCCTCCAAATCCCATGTTCACATGGTGTTATAAAACTGGAAGTACCTCAGAAGGCCTACAGTCCAACTCTTAGGCAAGGCAGAGACCTGGGGAGGGAGGATGCTCCAGCTGGCTCACTTATTCTTTTTTTTTGTTTTTTGTGAGGCAATTGGGGTTAAGTGACTTACCCAGAGTCACACAGCTAGGAAGTATTATGCATCTGAGACCACATTTGAACTCAGGTCCTCCTGACTCCAGGCCAGTGCTCTATCCACTGCGCCACCTAGTTCCCGCACTTATTCATTCAACAACCACTTGTTAAACACTCACTGCATGCACAGTTCTCTGTTAGATATGGTTGGGGGCAAAGAGAAGACAACATTGATTGGGGCTCTTAACCTGCTTGTGTTACGGATTCCTCTGGCAGTCTAGTGAAGCCTGTGGACCCCATCCCATAATAACGTTTTTAAATGCATAAAATAAAACACACAGGATTGCAAAGGATTACTGAAAAAGTAAAGGATTACATAGGATTACAAAAAAAAAGTCTTTTCCCCATTCAAGTTGATGGACCTGCCCCCGAAATTGATTCATGGGCCAATGCACCCCTTAACTCCAATGGACCCGGTTAAGAATCTGTGGGTAAGACATGACTCCAATTCTCATGGGCCATGGTCTAATCGATGGAATGAGACAGAGAGAGGTATTTCTATAGCTAAATAGCTGTTCCTAGTTACAGATTCCTGCAAGTCAGAGAAAGGAGGGAAGGAATAAGTTACATGTCATCTCCTGTCCCAGACCCTCTCCTAGGAAGCTGGGCACAGAGATAATGGAACTAAGGTGGACAGAGGCTTCTTCTCATAGGATGTACTTAAAGGAGAGCATCTCTAAGCACCCATAAAGCTGCCAAACACCTAGTCAGGAGAGATGAGAAGCTGGAGTTATAGCAGGAGCATAAGAAGCGTGGGATTCAGAGTCAGAGAAAATGGGTTCAAATCTTGACTCTGTTTCAACCTGACTGACCTTGGACAATTTACTTACTCCAGTCCTCAGTTTCTTCTTCTATCAAATGAAGGAGTTGCACTAGATGACCCATCAAGTCCCTCCCGGCTCTAAACCTATGAAACCTCAGGAGACCGTTTCCTACCTGAGCTAGGAAGAAAGGATGAAACCTCTCACTAGCTGACTTGGCACTGACCCTAACTCGCCCTTCTGCTTGTGGGGATGGATGTGGGGCTCTCATTCCCAGACTCTCAGGGTGGGAAGGATGCCCAGGGTTGTCTAGATGGACCTCCTTCCAAGTGCAGGAATCACCTCTGCTGAAAGATTTCCTTTCTCTTCAGCTCTGCCTTAGAATGTGCTGAGTGTAGTCTAAGACTGTCTTTGCTCTCTCAGAAGTCACCTTACACTTGGAAGAACGCAGTTGCACATACTCAGAAGGAAGAGCAAGATCTCCCTGCTTCCTCCCTTCCTAGAACCAGCAGTAAAAATAATGGTAACCACAGTGGACATTTTGTTAATCCCTTTATCCATTCATTTGGTAAGTATTGATTAGGTGCCACTGTGAGCAGGGTCCTGTCTCCTGTACTTGGTGAGGTACAAAGTCTACAATCTGTCCCTATACTTTAGTACGGAAACAAGACACATATAGAGACTATAGGGGCTGGAAAGGACCTCAGAGGCATCTTACATTTTACAAATGAGGAGAGAGAGGCCCACAGATCTATCCAAAGTCCCACAGGTTGACAGTAATGGAAGAACCAGAATTTGAACTTGGGTCCTCTGACTAGAAACCCAGAATTCTTTTTACTTTAATACATTCCTCCAACACTTTCTGGCTATGCTAACAATACCTGAAACTCAGCACATCTAAAACTGAACTCACTGTCTTTCCCTTTAAACCATTTCCCACTCCTACTTTCCCTACTACTACCACAATCTACAAGTCATCCTAGACTCCTCACAATCTCTCATTCCCTATATTCAGTTCCTTGCCAAAGCATGACAATTTCACCTTTGCAATATCTCTCCCACTCCTCTTCTCTCCTGTGACACTGCCACCACCGTGGTGAAAGCCCACATCACCTCACACCTGCATTATTCCAATAGCCTGCAGGTAGGTCTGGAGCCTCTCAAGTGTGCTCAAATCTCTCTCCACTCCAATCTATCCTCCATTCAGCCATGAAAGTGATTTTCCTACAACAAAGGTCCAACCTTGTCACCCCCTACTCAAAAAAACTCCAGTGGCTCCCAGTTGCCAGCAGGATCAAATACAAAATGCTCTGCTTGACATTCAAAGCCCTTCATGACCCAGCACCCTCCCACCTTGCTGGTATTCTTACCCGTTATTTCTCAAGTCATATTCTTCAACCTAGTGATACCATTTTCCTGGCTGGTCCACCCACCAGACCCTCCACCTCCCAATTACAGGCATTTTCTCTGCTGTGCCGATCCCTGCAAAGGATGTCCTTCCTCCACTCCACCTTACTGGCCTCCCTGGCTTCCTTTTAAGTGCCAACCAAAATCTCATCTTTTACAGGAAGCCTTTCCCAATCTCTTAACTTTAGTGCCTTCCCTCTGTTAATTATGTCCTGCTTATTCTGCACAGAGCTTCTTAGTACATATTTGTTTGCTTGTTGTCTCCATTAGGTTGTAAGCTCCTGGAGGGCAGGGGCTGTCTTTTGCCTCTGTATCCCCAGAGCTTAGCACAGTGACTAGCATGTGGTAGGAGCTTAACAAATGTTTGGTGACTGGCACATTTACGGCCAGGCAGTGGGGTAAGTGGTAGGGATACAAAGAAAAGAAAGACAGTCTCTGCCTCAAGGAGATTACAACCTAATGGGGAACATATCATACTAATAACTACTTACAAACAAGCTATCAGGCAATGGGAGCCCGAAGCCTTGGACAGAAGAGATTTTCAAGTGTTTGAGGAGGCTGCTTCCTTACAAACAGACATTTGCCTGTCACAATCGTCCGTTACAACTGAGCTCAGATCTTGCAGAAGTTACAGTCCAGATGCAGCATTAAATTTCATGCCTTTCAGTAAAGAATTGGTTTTTCAGCTGGGGCGTAGCTTATTTCCTCTCCTCCTCCCCTGGGGCACAGGCATATCTAAACACACAGAGGAAAAGAGAAACTGCCACAGCCGCCTCGTTGGCCCTTTTTGGCTCTTCACAGCCGCCGTAGCAGGGCGTATTCCAAAGTGACCGTTTGGCATATTTCAAGACTGGAGGCCTCAGCTCCTAGCTCACGCCACCATGAAGGCCCCTGTAAGGCGGCGCGCGGCTCCGGCGCGGTACCGAGGGTTGGCCCCGGCCGGGGTCCGCAGGGCCACGCTCTGGACCCCACGGGAAAAGCAGCAACTCCTCCGTTTACTGCAGGCACGAGACGGGGAGAGAGAACCCGAGGCTGTGGAGCCGAGGCAGGGGCTGCCCACCGGAGCGAGGCTGAGGTCGGGGGCGGGGCCGAGGGGAAGGGGGCAGAGCATGGCCCGGCCAGAACGAGGAAAGAGGCAGTGCGAGACTGCTGTGGGGGCGGGGCTGGAGGAAAAGGAGAAGTGAGGGATAGTAGCCTAGGGAGGCTGAAGGAGGGGGCGGAGCAAAGACCAGAGCGAGGCTGTAGGGGCGGGGATGAAGGGAAAGGGGCGGGGTTGAGTTGTGGGGGCACGTGCTGGGCGTGAGGCTGAGGGGAACGTCCATCAGTCCACCAGTCCTCTTTTATAAAGTGCCGGGTGTGTGCTAGACAGTGTGCTAAGCGCTGGGGGTACAAACAGAGGCAAAAGACAATCCATGCCCTCAAGGGGCTCACAGTGCATAGCAAGGTGCCCTGCCCATAGGATATACTTAATAAATGTTTACTGAGTGAATGAAGCTAATGAGGGAGACGATATGGAAATAAGTATCTAGAAAGGAAGCTGAGTACAAGATGAGCAGAAGACAGTTGACAGAGGGAAGGCACTGGAATTAAGTGGGATTGGGGAAGGCTTCCTGCAGAAGGTGGGATTTTGTCTGGGACTTGAAGGAAGCCAGGGAGGTCAGTGGTCAGTGGAGGAGGAAGAGCGTTCCAGGCATGGGGGACAGCCAGAGAGAATGCCCAGAGCTGAGAGATGGAGGGTCTTGTCTGTGGAAGAGGCAGGAGCATGGAAGAATAGTTGGTGGGGAGTAAGGTGTAAGAAAACTGGAAAGGGAAGAGGGGGCCAGGTCATGAAGGGCTTTGAATGCCAAGTAGAGCATTTTGTATTTGATGGGGGGCGGTAGAAGTCACTAGAGTTTATTGAGTAGGGACTCTTGGTGACATGATCAGACTTGGGCTTAAGGAAAATCACTTTAGTGGCTGAATGGAGGGTGGATTTGTGGTGAGAGGTGTGAGGAAGGTAGGAACATAGCCCTATCCACCTCCCCCCTCCATCCAGCAAGCTATTATTATAAGACTGGATGTGTCGTGATGAGAGTCTGAACTGGCTCTGGAGTCAGGAGGACCTGAGTTCAAATCTGACCTCAGACACATAATACTCACTAGCTGTGTGACTCTGGCAAGTCATTTAACCCCAATTGCCTCACCAAAAAAAAAAAGAACGAAAAAAAAAAAAAATTCACAGGCCTTGGCAACAGCTTGGATATGGGGATAAAAGATAGTGAGGAGTCTAGAATGACCCCTAGGTTGGGAGCCTGAGGGATTGGGAGTGTGGCATTGCTTTCTACAGTTGTAGGGGAGAGAGGAGGGGAGCAGGTTTAGGGGGAAATATAATGAGTTCAGTTTTAGACATATTGAGCCGTTTACTGGACATCCAGTTTGAGACGTCTGAAAGACAGTTGGAGATAGAAGAAAGGTAGATTTGAGAATCATCACTTTGGAGATGGTAATTAAATTCACTGGAGCTGATGAGATCATCAAGTGAAGTAGTATAGAGGGAGAAGAGAAGAGAGCCCAGCACAGAACCCAGAGGGATACCTGTGATTAGAGGGCATGATCTGGAGAAGGGTCCAGTAAAGAAGCCTGAGAAGGAGCAGTCAGAGAGGTAGGAGGAGAACCTCGAAAACCCAGAGAGAAGAGCAGATGAAGGAAGAGAGAATGATCCTGGGTGTCAAAGGCTGCAGAGGTGAAGGAGAATGAGGATTGAGAAAGGGCCATTGGGTTTGACAGCCAAGAGATCATTGACAACTTGGAGAGGGCAGTTTTGGTGGAATAGTGAGGTCATGAGCAGGATTTAAGGAGTTAAGAAGAGAGTGAGAGGCTAGTGGAAGCACCTGTTGTAGATGGCCTTCTCATGGAGTTTAGCCACAAAGGACAGAAAAGATGTAGGATGGTACTTAGCAAGGATGGAAGGTTCAAGTGAGGGCTTTTCCAGGATGGTGGAGACTTGGGCATGTTTGTAGGTATCAGGAAATGAACCAGTGGCTGGAGAGACTGAAAATAAGAGATGGAATCAGATGACAGAGTGGGTAAATCTGTTACTGGAGACGAGATGGATTGAGCAGGTAGAAGGGTTAGCTTTGGTAAGGAGTAAGGCCACCTCATCACAAGACAGGGGTGGAAGAGGAGAGAGGGACAGAAAGCACCTCAGTGACAGGAGATGAGAAAGAGGGAGCTTATGGTGAATGGCCTCATTTGTTTCTGTAAAACAGGAGGTGAGGTTCTCAGCTGAGAGAGTGGGGGGAGGGAGAGCCAGGGGAAGTTTGAGGAGGGATGAGGAGGTTTGGAAGAGCTGCTGTGACGAGTGGGAGAGGGAGTTGATGAGGGAGATATACAAGGTTTACCTAGCTGCAGTGAGGGCCCAGTTGACGTTGGGTATCACATTTATAGTGGACCTAGTCAGAATGATTGTGTGATTTTTTTACATGTTCATTTTGTAGCATGTGTATAGTATGCAAAGGGGCAAATGGTAGGAGTGATCCAGGCTGAGTTTTGGCAGGGCATAATGGAGGAAATGATAAAGGGGCTAGGGATTCAAGAGAGGGCCACAGTGTAGAATTGAATTGGTTTAACAAGGGGTCAGGGTGTAAAAAAAGAGAGTGGCCAGTGCAGGGGAGATGGCCTGGGAGACAACTGAGAAGTCAAGGAATTGGAGTTCATGGGGGCAGGAGAGGAGGAAGGTTGGGCAAAAAGGGCAAAGTTCGAGGCTCAGGTGAGTCAGGGCTGGGATGAGAAGTGAGGCTGGTGGGAGGCTGAGGGCTTTCGTGGCAAAAGCTAGGCTGAGGTGAAGAGGGTGGGAGAATTTAGATGGCTGAGAGTCAGGTTCACACGGGGAGGAGGGGAATCTGAGGGGATCTTAACTGAGCAGGGGAGGGGCTCCCAGGTAGAAGGAGCAAGGCTTCTAGGGCCAGTGAGAGGGTGAGGTAAGGGGCTGAGCTAGAGCCTGGAGTCTTAGGTAAGGGATGGGGCCAGGGCCAGGTTTGGGTGAGTTTTAGATGAGGGACTGGGGCTGGATTTAGGCCAGCTGGATTGCACAGTGGATGGAGTGCTGGACCAGGAATCAGGAAGACCTGAATTTGAATTCTGCTTCATGCAGTAGCTAGCTCTGTGACCTTGGGCAAGTTACTTCCATCAATGCTCTCAGCCTCAGTTTTTGCACCTGTATTGGGAGAATAACAACCTACCACGCAGGGTTGTGGTGAGGACCAAATAAGATAACATGAGAAGCACCTTGCAAAGCTTAAGGCCTGTATAAATGCTGCTGTCATTGTTATCATCATCATCACCATCATCATTATTAATCTGTGCCGTGAAAGGTGAGACTCAGGTGAACCTGGTTGGAGGAGGGCTGAGGTTGAGATGGCTTGAGGCTAAAGTGATAAAGGTCTGGGGGATTTAGGGGAGCCATGAGGGGGATCCCCAGGATGGAAGTGAGGCTCAGGGGATACTGAGGAAGCTCATGCTCCTTCAGTGTCCCGAGCACTTTGTGTGAGTCCTGACACCCTGACTTTGTAACCTTGGGCAAGCCAGTTCCCTCTTCTTTGCTTCCATTTTCCATGTAGAAAAGGAGCACATTGACGTCATGGTCTCCCTAAGTCCTCCAGGATCGCAGTCTTGTGGTCTGGGCCCTCAGGATGTACAGAGCAGAGTTGGGGACAAGCTATGTCTTACTCAGACTGTTGGGGGAGGGTAAAGATCTGTGAGAGGCAAAGACAACTGGTGTTTAAAAAGCATGAATTGGGTTATCTGTTCAGTGCCTACTGTGTCCTGGATGGAAGAGTCCTGGGAGTGCCCAAAGAGGCAGAAAGAGAGAGAACCAAGGTTAGGCTACTGTCTTGAAGCCAGTGGCATCCAGAAAGTAATTGACGTCAGCTTTGGGAGAAAAATGGGTCCAGCACAAAGGAGAAGATCCTTCCTATCAGGAAGGAGAGGTGATCTCTTCCCCTTCCTCAGGCAAGATAAGGTGGGTGGTCCAAGGAAAAAAGGATAATTGGGATTTCTATATTCAGTTCAAGAAATTCAGCACAGTTATGAAGTACCTTCTGAGTGCAGGGTCCTGAGGAAATTAACATATTACATCAAAGAATCACAGCATTTTGGTGTTGAAATTCAATGAGAAAAGCATTTATTAAATACCCACTGTGTGCCAGGCACTTAGGAGGAGCTGGGGATCCAAAAAATGAAAGGCCCCACCCTTGAGGAGAACCTTTAAACATTCTTCTGGAAGGGAGGGTCCTCAATAGCCGAGTAATCCACATTCAACCTGAAGAAGAAGGCCTTCAGTGTCCCAGAAACTGGAGGTCCAGCTTCAGAAACCTTGCCAGAGAGAGACTTTCTGACCTCCCAAGGCAACCTCTTCCCCTTTGAGAGAGCTCCCACTGCTGCCAAGTCTTTCCTTATCTTGAGCCTCTGTTTGCCTCCATGTATCCTTCACTCCTGGTTCTGCTGTCTGGACCCAAACAGAACGAGTTGAACCCTTCTTCCACTTGACAGCTGTTTCCCAAGTATCTGAAGGTCTCTCCTGTTTCTACTAAGTCTTCTCTTCTCCATAGTAAACATCCCTAATTCCTTCATGGACTCAAGGCCTTTCTCCAGCCTGGTGGCCCTGCTTTGGATGCTGTTCAGCTTATCAGTGTCCTTCCCCAATGTGGCCAGGCTTCATACAGCACTCCTGAAGTGGTCTGACTAGGGCAGAGTCCAGTGGGACCATCACCTCTTTATTCTTGGAAGCAGTGCCTCTCTTAATGCAGTTCAAGCTTTATTTTAGCTGCTTTCTCCGTTGGCTCCGTGAGTCACCCAAACTGCAGATACTTTTCAGACAAACTGCTGTCTTACCGTGCTTTGGAATGGAACAACATTTCTTACCTAATGGAAAAGCACTTATTAACTGTTAGCTGTGAGCCAAGCACTGTGCTAATTGTTGGGGATACAAATAAAATGTCTCAGGGAACTCTAATTAGGGGAGACAATCCTGATGCGTGCCCCACCTTGTGAAGCTCATTTTCTTAAACCCACATCTAAGAATTTGTATTTTCCTAT